TTATTTGTACACTCAACTCGCAAAAGTCGCATATTATTATGCATATCTTTACGATTCATATATTTCTTGTCATAACTTCTATTGTTATTTTTTCACAAGTGTACCCTAGAAAGTTTACAATTATTCATACTGCAGGAAATTATAGAATCTCCTACTCCTCTACATTCGTGTTCTAGTTGAAATTGCAACCTGTTTGTTTTATATCATTGACTTTTGAATACTGAAATAGAAATTTTATAGACCATATTGCCAATAATTTATCCAATTATATTTTCTTTACTATTAATTTCGTCAGGGTTGGTAAGACATTAAAATGCTATAGCTTCTTAAAATAAGCTCCCAGTTGGTGTGCTTGACAGAAATCGGTAATTTATTTACACCATATCACTCTGTCAGTAGCTCTTCAACTACGTTCATTTTTATTAGAGTGGCTACAACTTGTAACTATTTTCTTAGTCAAAGCGTGTAGTAAAGTTTTCCACCAATTTGATAACCATAACCATGTGTTGGGTGACTTGACTGGTACAGACTACAGCTACATCAGCCAGCTGTCAGACAGATGTACAGATGGTAGCTCCAGGGGTGTTTTTGTGTTCACACTTATCTCCACCCTCTCCCTCCCACTCCTCCCACTCGTGTACCTGCCTCGGGCAACATGAGGGCGGATTAAAGTTCAGTTTTTCAATTTCTTTTGAGATTTTACAATCTTTTTTACTTTAATAAACACTTTACCAAGGCACCTGCGTACCACATCTTGTATAAGGGTTTTAACCCTTCCAGGGCTAAATTAAATGAAGGGCTGGAGCTTAATTATTTTTGGCAAAAAATCAAAAACTAAAGTGGTTGTGTTTTGTATTTATTTCACTTGAAATAATTCATGGATCATAAAAAGATTTTCCTTAGGGCTGAACTAATTTTTGTACAAAAGTTATGAAGAATTTGATTTGACGGATATATCCGTCCGCCGCCCTCAGTGATAATCACAAAATATGAACACTGCCAATAATCTTGACTATTCTTGTGGGCCAAAGACGGATATATCCGTCAACCTTAGGCTATTCCTTCCCTTGTTTTATTTTTTATCCATAAAAACTTATCTATAATTCTGAAGTAAATCTAAACCACTCAGTTCAACTCCCGTGTCCTCAATCCCATTCCCCGCCAAGACTTCCACTACGTAAAGACTGTTCTTCAGGTTCATCATATCCATCACATTCCATATTATTATTTTCACTGCCAAGTATAAAACCCCCCTCAGACATACTTTTATTAAGCATCTCAATTTTATCTTCAAATTTCAGATCGTTTGCATTAGTAACTTAAGCTCAAAACATAAAAATAATGTACCAAACATAAAATGTAAACATCACTTACTATCAACCATGTGTGAAGTGACAGCAATATTTACTTACGCACACTCTATGGTGCAAAATAGCCGAAACTGATGCGGCAATTATTATTGCCAACCACAAAAACAAAATAACCCATTTATAATGCAGTGTAATGTTTATTACCATATTATAAACATTGTATATCAATTCGTTTTTTGGACGGATATATCCGTCATTATCCCAGAAAAGAAATTTCTAGGGACGGATATATCCGTTTTCAGCCCGGAAAGTAAACAAAGATTGACGGATATATCCGTCCATAGCCCTGGAAGGGTTAAGAGAATCTTTGATTAAGATCGTTTTATTGTTAGTTCTGTCCGGTGCCGCTAGATCGTGATTTTGTATGGTAGAATGTAGTGGATGTTTTTGTTCTGTGTATCTTTGTTATTGACTAAGAACAGATAGTACTTTTTTTCACCGAAAGACGCATCTTCAAGTCAGTACTGCAGTATGTTAATCAACTTTTCACCCTACCACGGCACAATCATTGACCATGGTGGCTGTGCCATTCCACAACATTACTCTATGGGCGGTACTCTATGTCCAGAGAAGCGAGTAAATACTTGACGCGCACGCTATCTATGGTGAAATTAAACAACCATTACAACATTACTGTACTGGCGTGAGGTGCCGCTCTGAAGTACACGGTATTTGTTTAATTTCAAGCTACATTGAGCTGTGATCTGTGATAGTAGATAGCCCGTGGTGGTCGGCGTCTTGCTCTAAACTGTGTAATATGATATGCGTGAAAGTAAGATAACTTACTGAGTTGAGTGCATTATGGCTAAAATGGAATCATTAATCCAAATTATTGTGAGCAACTGCTTTTACTCAAATAGTGCATAGCCTCTTGTAGTGTGATACCGGTGATACTAAGGAAGTCCATTTCGTATACACTAAAATATAAGTTTTGTGTTATGCCAGTTTAAATTATATAAATATCCTTTTGTTTCTTGAGTTCTTTAAGTCATAGTTTTTATAAACCCTGTACAAAAGCTCGCGAAATGTATTTGGTGAATACAAACTATTAGCTCAAGAACGCAGGCAAAAATAGTACATTTTTCACAAGTACATGTTTTACACAGTAAAGTGACTCTTTTCGACCCGAGCAAAAGTTTTGGAAAATTAATGAGAATTGCAAAAAACACTTTTTGCCCGTATGATGAATTATATTTTTCGTCATATTGCAACAAACTAAATAGTTAGAAAACGAAAATACTTCAAAGATAACCTAAAACACGACTTTCAACTTGTTTTCAGTTTTGCTAATGCAGACAAGCAATAAACTACAACCGATTGAATCAATCGATACATAATTTCGATACTTGTGATTGCTTACAATCGACAGCCAAATTTATCAATGTACAGGCACTTTAATTAGGTTTGTTTGATATATTTTATATCCATTGTCATCCAGTAGTAATAATTATCCATACGCCACTAATTGCCTATTATGGAATAAAATATAAAGCTGTTTCCTGGGTTTAAAAAAAAATTACATAATGCAGTTTTTATGATGATTGTCTATTAGTTTTACCACCTTTTTAAAATCTCATGGTCGTTTGCTAGTTAGGCATTAGTTGGTTCAAATGAGTACCTTCTAACATGTACATAATTTTATGGCTGATACTATGAAAATAAACAATAATGATCTAATTAAGACGAACTGGACAAAGATATATAGCCATTGACTGACTACATAAATATTGAGTATAGTCTATGATAAAGCTTATATATCACGAGCAAGTTAAAGTTTGCTCGCGCCTTCCATGTCGGATGCAATACAGCTACACAAGTGTACTGCAAACAGCATGAATGTAAACTCAGGCACTCTTCAATGTAGAAGCACAGCTATGCTATTTTATATTTAATGTTTTTTATTTAATTGCAATTGCTGTACCACTGTTTATAAGATTTGTAAGGTATCTCATATGTGTAAGATTTTCCAATCTATATATATAAAATCTAATGTATGTTTGTTTGTATGTATGTTTGTCCTTTATGGACTCTGAAACCGCTTGACAGATTGTAATGAAACTTTCAGGTATTATTAAGCATTATTCAAGGATGGTTTGTGTGAAGTTTGGTGCAGATCTGTCAAAAGGGCTCCGCCCCAGTGGCTCTGGAGTTTCCCATGTTAACCTTATGAGTACTCATATTTAAATGGAATTAAAGATTCTTAACAGCTGGTTCAACTAAAGAATTTAATTCTATGATGTTCAATAGCATTAAAAAATTAATAGGTTTACCAACAGGGTGCAGCACTATTATTTTTTCAATTTATGACAACAGCCAATTTGCAACCAAAAGATGAGTGAGCGTAGCGAACGAACTTCAACCTGGAGGCGAGTTAGCGTAGCGAACGAGCTAACCTGAAGGCAAGTGAGCGCAGCGAACAAGCTCCAACCAAGACGTGATTGAGCCATGCGAACGTGCTCATCTTGAAAATGAACGAGCATTTGACATAAAACCACATTAGGACAGGACGACGTCTGTCGGGCCAGCTAGTATTTAATATTTTAAATATTTACCCAGTATGAATAGTTTTGATTTGAGTTATTTTCCTAAGGAAATCTGTATAAAACTGTCTATAAAGGAATATTGTTACTTGTTTGTGTAAAGGTTTAATCAAAAGGTTGGAAGTTAGTTGTTAGTTTTACAGGGAGCTACTATACAATAATAAACAATTAAACGGTATCAGCAAACTGACATATACTTTCTCCCATAAGCTTGTGAACAACATTTGTCATGGGTAAGAGGTGGGAAGTAACTATGATATGTTATAAGAATAAATCACAAAAGTTGCAATAACGTTTGAACCGTAATTGTTACAGCAATGGGATTGCAATATTTTTGTTTAGAATTATATGTACCGTATAGCACAAAACCTGCTTTTTTCCTAAAATCCGATATTTTGTTACTTTATGTGTGTTTCATGGGAAATAACATAAGTTACAATAGAAATAACATAAGTTACAATAACCTTTTAACGGTACGTTAACGGAAATGAGATCTGTAATATTTTGTTAAAAATTTTAAGGACCATAACAAAAAACTAATTACATTTTAGGAACGTAAATGTTACAGCAGATTGCTTTAAAACAAAAACAACTAAACTAGAAGATCTAAATAAAATTTCAGTACATAACATTTTAGGAACGACATTCTTTTACAACTCTGTAAAATGAATGAAAACAATGCCCTCTTATGAAGACAATGGCCACTTGACCATTCTTTGCTAACATCAAGATGGATTGTTCATTCATTTAAGTTCACTACTAGAAACATCTGTGGTTAAATAGTTCAGAAGCTGTTTCTGTTTGTTTTCTATGTAACCCAAGCACTTTTCTCCACTCTCCCCCCCCCCCCCCTCCCGGAAACACCTTTATTCGTTCGGAACTTTCCTGAACTTGATTTCGAGCCTTAGATGCCTCAGACGCTGAATCCAAGTTTAATTTGTTGTGGGGTTATCAATAAATGATGCTACCTTACAAAAAGTGTGTTTTAGATGGTAAAAACCTAAACACGTGAACGACTATGAAAAACATAAATCAAAATCGCACACAAAATTATTACCGTAGTAGGTTTACTGATGATATTTGTTGACAGGTGATCGCTGTGCTATCAAGATATTGGAGAATGTGGCAGAGAACATTGAGGAGATTGAGGAAGAGTACTTGGTGTTGAGAGATCTGAGTCTACATCCCAACATACCTAGCTTCAAGGGACTTTACCTAAAGAGGGGCTCACTCCCTGAGGAGGACCAGCTATGGTTTGTTATGGAGGTAAGGTTTAGTTCATTGCTGGACAGCTGTAAAAAATTTCAGACTATTAAGAGTTAAGGTTGACATTGAGAAAAATTAGTATTAATACCTCTTGGAGGTGATAGTGGAACCTTTGGTGGATAGTGGTGAGTGGAACCTTTGGTCTTCCACCGAGATTTTAATGTAGTTTAATAATTATAGCGTTGAATATGGTGTACACCAGTTGCTTTTTACTTTCTCCCCCTATACCATAGTATATGGAGAAAGTATTGTTTTCGTCAAAATGTTCGAGTTTGAGTTTTGAGTGGATATATTCGTTTTGGGTCCCCCTGGACCCAAAAAAGTGGTTTTCGAAGTGATGTCTGTGTGTGTGCGTGTGTGTGTGTGTGTCTGTGTGTCTGTGTGTCTGTGTGTCTGGATGTGTACAGAGCTAGAGACTACACCTGTGGTCCGATTTCGATGAAATTTGGTATGTAGGTTCTAATCCATGGTATCTCCAGGCGTTTTTTTCATTTTTTTGAAATTTTGATTTTTAATGGGGATTTTCCCATAAAAACCCATAAAAAACCGGAAAAATCGGATATTCTCAAAAATGGCCCGAACGATTTTGATAAAAATTTAGTATGTTGTAGCCCTTTAAATTCTGAACAAAATGGTACAAATCCCATTTCTGTAAAAATTACGGATCAAAAGTTATGGTAAATTATGTTATTTTCCCATAAAAATCCCATAAAATAACGAAAAATAGAATTTTAGACAAAAAAATCCGTTTTTATTTAACATAGTATGTTATGATCCTTACAATTTTGATAGTTTTTCTCATTTCTTAGAAATTTTTATTTTTAATGGGTATTTTCCCATAAAACCCCATAAAATGACGGAAAAAAAAAGATTTTCCCAAAAATGGCCTGAACGATTTCGATAAAAATTTAGTATGTTATAGTTCTTTATATTCTGAACAAAATGGTACAAATCCCATCTCTGTAAAAATTACGGTTCAAAAGTTATTGTAAATTATGTTATTTCCCTATAAAAACCCCATAAAATAACGGAAAATCATATTTTCCCAATATTGGCTCGAACGATTTTGATAAAAATTTAGCATGTTATAGTCCTTTAAATTCTGAAGAAAATCTTACAAATCCCATTTCCGTATATTTACTCTCACCGCTTACACATGATAAAGGTTGTTGACAAACTTATGGGAGAAAGTATGTGTCAGAATGCTGATACCGTTTATTTTATTTTGAGGTACCTTTTATGATTTCAATAATTATTGATATTTATTTCTACTGGATCTAGTGCTTGATCTGTGAGGGAACGCGGTGGAAAGGAGGTCCAGTACCTGGAATGATAAAACGATAAAAGTATTAGCATAAATATATAGGTAAAAACCAAAAAAATTGGTTTCAGTTCTGGCACCTCAATTTTTACAAATCAAGCACTAGATGACCCTCATGCTTTTTTTGATTTTTTTAAACTAACTTTAAAATTAATTCTGTTAGGTGGAACTAATCTATTTCAGAAAATCTTTAGAGTTCCAAGAGCAATTTTTGGAATACCTGAACTTAAGAAGAAAAACCTCAGTGTTAATCCAGAAAAACCAATCTACCTCAAGGATACCCTATACAGAGCAGATTACATAATATTAGTGTAAAGTGTAAGTTCTTCATGGGCCTATTTATACTATTGTCTCACTACACTGAAATAACTCCATATTACTCCGTTGTGAAACTGTCAAATCAAATACATTGATAATGTCTCTACTGGCTCCTTTTTAATATGCCGTGGAATTATTTGTCTGAATGAACACCCTTAGGAATCCCCTGTAATACACTTATTGTTACTAGATGAGAGATAGAAAGATTTTACATTTTAGTTAAAAAAGAGTTCTAAATAAGCTAAAAGTTAGGTAAATGTAAAAATATTTAATTGTAACCAATTCCATTTAAATTGAAGTTACTGCGTATACTACAGTGCCCATAATACAATCGTATATTTCTGTTATTTTTACAGCTTTGCACCGGGGGCTCAGTAACAGATCTTGTCCAAGGGCTCAAGAAAAGAGGAGAAAACTTGAATGAAGAGCAAATTGCTTACATCTTACGGGAAACTGTTGAGGTATGTTTTGGTCAAAGTGTAGTTTTTAAAAATTATTGACTTCCTACGCTTTTTTATAAAACCTTAAAATTATTACTTTGCCAATATACCACTTTCCACAGTCAAAAACATGTGACTTTTTCTACTACAATGCAGATTTACTATAATGCAGATTTTTGAATTCTTGCATTACCGGTACCTTTTTTTGCACAATAAAAATAAGGAAAACAATACACATAAGAGTTTTTAAGTGAATTTTATGATATTGCTCAGCTACGCTCTCTGCTTCACTCTAGCCTTGCCGCTCCACTATGTTTTCACACTATGGCAGGTGCGAAAAGTTTGGTCACACAGGGCCCCACACCTCCAAGCCAACGCCTGAACTGGGTGAAAAAACCAAAAATAAAAAAAATTTTACCAATTTTGGAAAAAGAAAAAGAGGGGAGTGTTAATACTAATGTTATAGCATTTAGATTTTGTTAGTTCTGTTTGGATACTTTTTTTAGTAAGGGCCCCCCTTCTGTATGTTTACATTGCCCCCCCTCCTGCACCTCCCAAGACTGGCTCTGTGTACTTGTAACCGAAGATATACTTGAAAGCTGAATATATTGTGCACTTTTTGCAATTGTGCAAATTTGTTGAAATTGATTTGAATAAAGTCTAACTTAGGTGTTAAGTTTGATTTCCCCGACTCATTTAACATTATAAATTCATCGTATCATATATTGCAAAAACATAGAGTACTTAATAAAATGAAACATTGCAGGCGCTAGTCTATCTCCATGACAACCATTGTATGCATCGAGACATCAAAGGTCACAACATCCTACTAACGGAGGAGGCTCAAGTGAAGCTCGTAGACTTTGGTGTGTCGTCACACCTTGCGGCAACCCTGGGCAGACGGAACACATCTGTGGGAACACCATACTGGATGGCTCCCGAAGTAACTAGACTGATTATATTTTTATTTTCATTTTGATGTTATTTGTTAATCTTTGCGATTGGCGTTTTAAATGTTTTTTTAAGGAACACTTTAAACACTGGTCTTGTTACATGATGTAAACTTTTGTTGGAAAGCATCATTGATGCTGAATGGGAAATAGTCCACTCTGGCACAAGAAACACACGACTTTACATTGTATTGTCCGGATAACAAAGTTTTTCCAGTACTCACTACTCACCTTCAAATGTTGAAGTTTGCTGAATCAATTCCAAACCATGACGTCATTGGGTCAATTTGCTTTCAAGCAAAAAGTCATTGTTACATATAGTAAGCGAGACAAACGTTTGGACTGTTTTCTTACAGAAAGGGTAAACAATTGCAATGGGATGGATAAACAGAAACAAAATAAAATACAAAAATGTTTTATGTTTCACCGTCACTGTCAGCATTTACTACCAAAGATGGTTTGAGTTTAGGATATGTTCTGGTCCAGTTATGAGAGCTAGAGTTCTTTTCCATTCAATTAATCTCTTATTGAACGCTGAGATATTTCTTCTACCTATGCCTTTAAAGTGTATGTGTTGGAAATAACCTTTTTTTTATTTTACCTTTTCTATCTCCATTTGGTCTGAGCTTTTCCCAGCACTTTCAATCATATAGAGAGAGTTTTGCTAAAAGTAGTCTGTGGATCCTATAGGTCCTTAAAGGTTTATAGGGAATTGTAAAGGTGGGTTTAGATTTAAAAGTGTTGACCACAGGAAGATTTTGGTTGTCAAGTTTGAGTTTGTTCTACCAGTCATAGTAACTTTATACCTTCATTATTCCTCTTCTGCCAATCATCATTTGAATCTTAAAACATGTGGTTACCACTAGTATAATGTCTCCTGAAAAACGGTGATGTTTGTTAAAAGGAGTAGAGTGTTCCTACATTATCACTTACGTAATAGGGTTTGTGATGTTAGACCGGTGCAAAACCATCATTTTTACTTTTGTTTGTTTAATTATGGACTGAACTTAACTTGTTCGCTTTTCAGGTGATAGCCTGTGAGCAACAGCTGGACTCGTGGTATGATGCTCGCTGCGACATCTGGTCTCTTGGCATCACTGCTATTGAACTGGCGCAGGTATGTTTCTTTACCTAACCCGCCATGTTAAACTTCCCTATCCCAAGCGTGATGTATACAACTTCCTTACTTCTCGAGTGATGTAAAGTTGAAAAAAACTCACTCGGTGATGTAATGAAACCCATTTAAATAACATTGAGTGGATAACTTAAAAAATATACCTCTATGGAGCCAACGACGTTCAACCCTAGAAATCAGCTGTGTTTGAATTTTATTGTTATGCTTTGAAGAATTTTCCTAACCTAGCTTTTGTTTGTAAATTAACGTTACTGTTATAAGATGAGTGAAATTGATAATGAAGCATATTGCTCGTGACCTCCTGAATATTGTCGGGTCAGGTAAAATCTTGTACGTTACACGTTACGCAAGAGCGTGTTTACATCACTTCGGTGAATTATGCAACTCGCCTTCGCTCGTTGCACAACATTCACCTGCGTGATGTAAAAACGCTCTTACTACACTTGTAAATAGCTATTATTGCATTCTATTTCGTAAGAGTTTTAGGTACCTTTGTAGAATGGAATGGTGCTGTCAGATTATTTGGTCAACATTATCAATGGAAATACCTTGAGTGGTGAACATTTTCTTTACACTCATAATTAGTTATGAATGGAAATTTTATGAACAAAATGCAAAATTCCCCTAACTTTGTTCACTGCGTAAAACAAGACAATGAATGACAGCATTTGACTTACACCATGGGAAAAGTCGTGTAATTGTTTGAGTCATGACCTTCACTCCTAGGCAACTTTTCTATGTCCAAATACTTTATGGAGACCTTAATTTACATAAAACCCTTTGTATCTATATTTTGTATAAACATACTGTACAATATGTAATTTGCCAACTTTTGTCCCTTAGGGTGATCCCCCACTAAGTGACCTACACCCAATGAGAGCGCTGTTCCAAATACCTCGCAATCCTCCACCCCAGCTGGAGCGGACTGATTGTCCCCTACTTGCAGACTTCGTGGCAGAACTACTAGTCAAGGACTTGGAGCAACGACCTTTCGCCAAAGAGGTGCTGCGACATCCACTGATGAAGAAGGGTGCTGTTTGTGCAGCCAAGGTGTGCTAATTAATTGTACATATTGTTGGTGTTTTGATCTTTGTCTTGGATGTGATACTAGAACTAGGACTAGGTTGGATGGACTGCTAGCCAGCGGTGAGCATATGAGAAATGAGTTTGATCCTCAGAAAATCCACAAAAACTGTAGGCTTTAAGACTTCTTTCCTTTATGCGTTTGGAGTTTATTTCAAACAAAATACAACTGGCATAAAAATATTGCTTGTCAAGCATAATAACTGAATTTGCTGACAAAATCTTGTGATTTAGACTACATGCAAGAATGGTGGCTCAAGAAAGAATAATAGTTTTGATAAGTTAGACCACACAGTGCCACCTAGTTTAGGATAAAGGAAGAATATGAATGGAGGAAGAGGTAAAAAGATTCGATAACCTGGATGAGATTGTCATATTTCAATAAATCTTAGATGTAGAATACTTTGTTCTATGTTTTATGCCACTCCTTTACATTTAAAGTAGAAGAAGTGGAATTATACATTGTTCTATGGAAACAAAGTCATAACCTCCAAACAGTACCTAACAATAATTAACCTACCATGTATTTCTTCAGGTGAAAACTGTACTTCAAGCAGAAATCAAACGGCAAAGAGTGAGTGGCCGATGTCATAGACAACCTGAAGTAACAACAAAACATGGAAAACTAAAAACTGATCGGAAACAGATGGCAAGAAAAATGTATGTGGACGATTTGGCAGCACTTGACATTCTGACTGAGGTATGCATAAAGCTTCGATGGTGAATATAATTTATGTTAAATAAGGTGTAGCGTACTGTCTTTCAAAAATACTTTGGGGCAATTCAATTTACAAGATCGGGTTTACTGCTCAAGCATTATCTTTTACACCACATGAGACTTGAGCCAAAGAGTTTGCTTAGCAAAGCAAGATCTGTTCCTGTTAAACACAGATTTCAAAACAGACGCATTGCGATAAAGTATACTAGTACCGGTAACTCTAAAATAGAGGATTAAGAGCATTTTAAATGTTTAAGTTATTCTTTGGTCGATTTGTTCCTAGCATGCTAGTTAACTTTAGCCAAGACTAGCAATTATTTTTATACTCCTAATAAGATCAGATTGGCAAGAATTTTTTTTCTTTGGCGGCCACAGTTGGTAACCTTGAGGACAATTATCCAATTTTGAACCTTAACTGGTACGGTACTTAACTTCAATTCTTTTAAAAGTAAAATATTAAGACAAAATGTCAGTGTTCTGTTACCTTTCATTCTATAAGCTTCTGACCTGGGACTTTTCTCTGGGTAAAATGACCAACCCCCCCCCCCCAATGATTGTTTCAATATTGTTTTGGCATTTCCAGGACTCTATAGTGGAGCAACTTCAGCAGAGGTATGAGATGAACCAGATCTATACCTACATTGGTGACATCCTGGTGGCTGTCAACCCATTCACTGACCTGGGCATGTACTCCCCAAAGGTTAGTTTATCAGGATCAGTTATATTTATATTGTCTATAGGTAATGTTTTAGGAGGTTAGCGACGTCTAGTTTTCCTTTGCCTGTTCTTGCAAAGAACATATGACAAGCAAAGCAAGGTTATACAAATTGCTGGGTTCAAAATGACAAAACAAGCTTGTACATGTTGGTATCCCTGTTTTCTTTACTTCGATTGCCAATCAGCTGATGTACATTGTTGCAACTATGTATATTGATGTTTAGTGTTATCGGGAATTTATTGTAAATAAGACAACATATGGTGTTTCCCAAGCTCGAAGAGTTAAAAGAATACATTTAAAAAAATCATTGGTTTTATGCCAAGAAAGTTGGGAAAGTTAAAAACTAAGTTTCCAGATGTGATTTGAGTAACTAATAAATTATTATTGACTGTTAAAAATTTAAGGAAACCTGATCCATAGTAAATAAAAAATTTAAAAAAACCATCAATCTACAACACACTATATTTGAGCTTGTGAAAACATTATATTGAGTCTTGCTTACAATAAATTCACAAAAACACTAAACCTCATTGATAACTATGCAACAATGCATATCAGCTGACCAACAATGAAGAATACAGGGATACCAAAGCCTGTTTTGTCATTAAACATTTCCTCACAGTAAGGTACTTGTAATTTGTGTTGCATTAAAAAAACCCTTGTATGACTAGGGGACGAGTTATTGTTTACGATTAGATCGTTTTATTAGGTTAAACAAGGTTTTAATCTACTGAAATAACAAGAAACAAACTGTAAACAAAAAGACAATTCTATTGGCATTCTTTCTTGTGGTAGCAACAGACGGAACTAACAATAATATTGTCTTCAGCTGATCCATAATGATGAAAAATCTACTGAGGGAGTATCTTTAATCTATTTCAATACTAAGATAATATTTACACAGAGTATGATGATTCATTCCGTATTCCTACCACCAGGAACAGAAGAGGTACTGTGGACAGTCTCGCAGTTCCAATCCGCCTCACATATTCGCTGTAGCAGACGCAGCTTACCAGGCTTTGATGCACCAGAGGCACAGTCAGAGTATAGTGATAAGTGGTGAGAGTGGCGCAGGCAAGACTGAGAGCGGCAACTTGCTGCTCAAACAGCTGGTATTCCTTGGAAAAGTGAGTCACACGATGGATGTTATTTTTTTTTTACAAGAAATAGTTTTGAAACTAGTACCTTTTGTGTTTTGGTTAAACACATTTCAAATACTAATCAGGATTTTTTAATTAGTCATTGAGTGCTTTAAAATCTGTGTGCTTTGTTTAAAAATCACAAGAAAGACTCCCTTTTAGTTTTTAAGAATAAAAAAACACTTAGCTAGGACAGCAAAACGTTTATCTACTATGATACCTGTATTAGAGATTGAGTAATCTATAAATGTTGTTCTTGGGCCTATGGTTTAAAAAAATGTCAATAAATAATTTTTTTTATAACCAACCTAATTACCAAATTAACCTAATAACCTAAATTGTATATACACAGAAGGAATAGGTATACATATATACAGGGTGAGTTTTAATTGTCCCCCCCCCCAACTTTTTTCTACATTTTTTCAAATATCAATCCCAGACCACTTCCAAACATTGTTGGGTAGTAAGTACTTCATTTTGACAAGGTGGTCATTTCCGGCCGCCATCTTGGATCCGCCATATTGGATGCAAAATTTTTTTTTCAAATGTTAAGGTGGGGTTGTGACCCATTATTTCGAACTAAATTTTTACCCTGATTACAATGCCGCAAACTGTTTTTAAAAATCTCGATTCATTCTAAAGTTATGAGGGTTTTTAAAAACTTTATTTTTAGCCCATTTTAACATTGTACATTTACAAACTAAGGCCATAATCTCAAAATAGTGCTAGATAAAGATAAGTATACACTACCAGTCATTGTTGACCTATTTTCACTTGGTTATGACTGATGTATTTTTTTCGGCCGCCATCTTGGATCCGCCATTTTGAAATGTGATAAATTATTTCAAATATAAAGGGGGTGTTGTGACCCATCATTTCTAACTACTTTTTTAAGCTGAACTTAATTCCATGATCCGTTTTTCATTTTCATTTTTTGATTTTTAAATATTGATATTTTTTACAAAAAAAATTGCAATATTTCCTAAATAAAACTTGATAACAAAAAATGGATTAAGGCATTGAGTTTAGCTTAAAAAAGTAGTTCGAAATGATGGGTCACAACACCCCCTTCATATTTAAAATAATTTATCACATTTCAAAATGGCGGATCCAAGATGGCGGCCGAAAAAAATACATCAGTCATAACCAAGTGAAAATAGGTCGACAATTACTGGTAGTGTATACTTATCTTTATCTAGCACCATTTTGAGATTATGGTCTTAGTTTGTAAATGCACAATGTTAAAATGGGCTAAAAATAAAGTTTTAAAAAACCCTCATAACTTTAGAATGAATCAAGATTTTTAAAAACAGTTTGCGGCATTGTAATCAGGGTAAAAATCTAGTTCGAAATAATGGGTCACAACCTCACCTTTACATTTGAAAAAAAAATTTTGCATCCAATATGGCGGATCCAAGATGGCGGCCGGAAATGACCACCTTGTCAAAATGAAGTACTTACTACCCAACAATGTTTGGAAGTGGTCTGGGATTGATATTTGAAAAAATGTAGAAAAAAATTGGGGGGGGGGACAATTAAAACTCACCCTGTATAGGTCTGAGAAACAGGTTCTAGGGAGTGTGTAGTACAAAAAGCTTACATACAACAGACTTTAAATCGTCAAAAGAAGCCCCCAAAAATATCAAATTAATTTTGTTGGTTAAATGTTTTGTGTATTCCTACTTCCTTATTGTATTCCTAAGCCAATAGCTCTTTTCACAAAAAACTTCCCGTCTTTATTAATTAATCCCTGTATTGTGAATCACAATTAATTTAAATTTAAACAGTAATTGGAATTTCTTGATTGGAATGTCATTGTTTTATAGCTATTTACATTACAAGTGTAGTAAGAGTGTTTTTACATCACATAGGGGAATGTTGTGCAACGAGCGGAAGCGAGTTGCATAATTCTCCCAAGTGATGTTAACAATCTCTTGCGTAACGTGTAACATACAAGATTTTACCTGACCCGACAATATACAGGAGGTTACGAACAATATTTTTCATTATCCATTTCACTCATCTTCTAACAGTAACGCTCATTTACAAACAAAAGCTAGGTTAGGAAAATTCTTCAAAGCATAACAATAAAATTCAAGCGCACAGCTGATTTCTAGCGTTGAACGTCGTTGGCTCCATAGAGGTTATATTTTTTAAGTTAAGCACTCAATGTTATTTAAATGGGTTTCATTACCTCACCGAGTGAGTTTTTTCAACTTTACATCACTCGTGAAGTAAAGAAGTTGTATACATCACGCTTGGGATAGGGAAGTTTAACATGGCGGGTTAGGTAAAATCCTTTACCATCTTTATGGAAATATACCAAACTACCTCTCTAACATTCCCCTCACTTAACCTAACCTGTCTTCAGGCCCCCAACCGAGATTTGGAAGCTCGTATACTTCAAGTGAACCCGATCATGGAAGCGTTTGGCAATGCTCAGACTGGCATCAACGCCAACTCCTCTAGGTTCGGCAAGTTCCTAGAGTTGAGCATGACTCGTGGAGGGAGAGTAACAGGTGCCAGACTATCAGTGTACCTTTTGGAGCAGTCCAGGGTGGCTCAACAGATGACGTGAGTGTTCACCTTTCATTTTCGTAGGGATTGGTTTCAAGTGTGTTAGGAAATATATATCTTGTTTTAAAGTTATTATTTTTTTAGAGTGGGTTTGCTTCCTTCTACGTATGACAATAGTTGCAAGTCCATTTAGTACGTTTAGTAAAATTAGTACATATAAATTACCTGTAAAATATTAAACAAGCTTCATGTGTGTTTTTAAATCATGTGAAAACTATTTATTTACCAATGCCCAATAATTTAAAACCCTTATTTTTATTCTCCAATAAAATTTATACTTTCTGATTGGGCACTAAATGGTTTTCACACTGTTGTCAACAAACGTATACGTAAAGTAGTTAGAAACTATGAAAAATGTCAATTATGCGATTCATTTTTTCTTTAATTGCATTCAAAATATATACTGATATTGTACAGAGCAAGATATTCTGCAATGTAAAATTAATAAATGAAACTAAAGCTTCACAATGATTGCAGAAATGAGAAGAACTTCCATGTGTTCTACTACCTGTACGATGGTCTACACAATGACGGCAGACTTGGAGAGTTCCACTTAGATCCGACATTGAGACAACAACACAACTTCCTTACAGCTGATAGCCAGGATGTACTCAGTAGACAGGTAAATGGAAATTATTATTTATATTATTCAAATTTATTATATTTATTTATGTTATTATTTATTTTAATTTTACAAATAAGACACCCTTGTTTTTGCGAAACTGGATACTAAGTGGAATCCCAATTGATTTGTTGATTCCTAAGTACAGTTGAATTGTTTAGATATTTACTTTTAAAAGACCCTCCTTAAAACTAACCCCCCCCCCTCCTAAATCAAAACAATGAAAATTCTAAGAGAAAAGACCAGCTAGGATTTACAAACATGAATAGGTCTCTGTGTTTGTCCAATGACTGATCTTCATTCTGCTTTATTTAATATATCTGTATCCAACAAGCGAGAAATGTAACATGCTTAATTGTTTGTCATTTTAAGCAGACTTGAATGGTGATAAGAAATTTTGATGGGTTATATTGTTTTGTTGCTGTTGTTTTTTCTAACTGTGAACCTTCTTATCCACGATCAGAACGAACAGGTTTGCAGACTAACTTTACTAACTTTTTATCAAAATTTAATAAAGAAAATTATAAAACTTTCACTGTATTACTCTAAGTAAGGACTTACAAATAAAATTTCAATGAATGTTGTTTTTGACATCTGTGGTACTAAATAAATACCCCTGCTGTAGCAATCCTGCAGTGTAAGCAAATTTCCATTTACCTGGTTGAATTTTCACAAATATATTCCCCTAAAATATTCACATTTATCTCCTATTTAAATTAAATTAATTTTAATGAGTACCTAACTACTTGAAATGGGGGAGCTTTGGGCCCCCAAAAAACCCTTTGGGGATAGTCAACTCTGATGGAAAATTAAAAAAAGAGTAAAGAAGTCCTGAATGAAGTTTTTACCATGAAGATTATGATAATTACTGCTCTATCAAGGTTCCACATTATTAACAGTTAAAACAAATACTATCCCACTATGTTTTAGAACAATGTTCAAAAGTTCAAAGAGCTCAAGTCAGCGTTTGAGGTTGTGGGCTTCCGGGATGGTGAGGTGAACTCTATCTACCGTGTGATGGCTGGCATTCTACACCTCGGAGATATTGAGTTCGGAGAAGTGGTCTCTGACGACAACACTGACAACAAGAGCAGAGTGATAGATCTGGCTCCACTGCATAGAGGTATTGATTGTAGCCACCTGCAATATGTTAATTTAAAAGATTTTTTCATCAGGCTAGAGCTATGTAAAAAAAGTTTTATATTGCCTTGTATAAAGTTATTTTACATACATCTATCTTCTATATACTTAATCCAATAAGGTTTTTTTCCGTAACATCCCTTTTTTTCAGCAGTCCTATTTATCCGATTAGTTCTTTGCCCTACTAGCGTTTGATTTTTTACTTAAGTTCCCTTTCAAAGATGCTGACTAGCTTTCTTCATAATGGTTTAAAAATGGAACAGCTGATCCTTCAGATGAATTGTAACATAGACAAAGAGAATTAAATATAGACTGTCAGCTGTGCTGCGGTTACCAAACAGCTGGGAGCGGTGTGCGACAGAACCTATGGTAACCATGGTAACCGCACCATGGCTGACAGTCTATATTTAATTATGTTTGTCTATGATTGTAACCACAGTCAGATTGTAAACAAGAGATAAACCAGTTATGAAAATAGATTTTGAATTTCCTACTTTTTGATAATTTTATGTAACAACAACTATCATAGTAAAATAATTTTCCTCGATACCACACTCAGTGATCGGCTCATTCATTTTCTTTTTTAATAAGATATTGTTCACAGCTGGTCTAGCTACATCGGCACAAATAATCGATGGTATGACATACTCAGAATATTATTACACATGGCTTGTGTCTTGTCCAGCATCGAGTCTGTTGGGTATAGAAGCCTGCGACCTTCTGGAGTGTCTGACAGCCAACAGTGTGGTGACCCGAGGGGAGACCATCACTAGGAACAACTCTGTAGTAGAGGCTGTGGCTACTAGAGATGCAATGGCCAAGGCTCTGTACAGCAGACTGTTTGATTGGCTGGTCAACTGCGTCAACAGTCTATTGTGCTTCAGCACAAGGTGAGTACAGCCTTTACAAAATTAGCTTTAATTCTTTTGGCACAGGAGTGTTTTGGAGTGGGAATAACATTGGCAATAGCTTGGTAATGATAGTTTAGCGTTTTATTACTTTTTAGCGAATTTCCCATATAGGGAATAAGCTATTACCGTAGTACTCATGGTAAGACCTGGACGCGGGACCGATTTTTTTTCATTTTGAGGTCCCTAGAGGCCAAAAACACCATCCGTTCAAATTCATATATATATATATATTTATATATTTATATATTTATATATATATATGTGTCCGTTAGCACGATAACTCGAGCAAAAATGATCCGATTTTGATGAAATTTGGTACAAACGTGTAAACCTACGTTTATTCGAACGAGTTCGCGATCCAGCATGATCGGACCATGGGAACGGGGGTTTACGGGGGGTTTTATGGGGTAAAAATAAGTTTTTCCCATTTTTGACCCAAAAAAAATAAAATTTAGCAATTTCTTTCCAAACCATTTTGTAGAGCTTAAAAAACAAATAATTTAGTATATTAAAGTGTTATTATGCGCCTTATGGTTACGGAGAAAATTCCAAAAAATTGTCAATTTAAAATTCCCATGTTATTCTTATGGAGAATAAGTAAATTGTTGTAGTTAGCTTGTTTATGAACATATTTTGATCAAATTTGGAAAATGTTTTTATTTCTTACTAACTATTAACGTTTTACAATAAAAAAAAACAGTTTTACCCTCCCTGATGCAGCAAACCTAAGTACTAGTTAAACTAATTCTATTTAAATAGAGAATAAATGTTATATTTTTTTTTTTAAGTAGACATTTCAGTGTAAATCCAATCAGTCAAATGGAAATTTGCTTAGTCTGCAGGTTTGCTGCGGCGGGGGTATTTACCTTTTCAGCATTTTTAGATATTTAAATGTAGGCTATAAAATCTAGAATATTTATTGCTGTTGATGCACACAATTCAGATATAGGCAAAGACAACATAAACGATTACAATCTACAGCTAGTGTCCTGCAACAATGTAATCGATCGTACAATTATAAACTTTTACAGACTGTTACAAAACTATTACCATTTATTACCTGTAAACAGCAGCAAATAACAAAAGTCAGGAGAAGTGAAAATTAAATATCGAGGGGAGGGATGAAGTGGAACAACATCTTTAGAAATTACAACTTTTTGACTATTTTATTTTGATTGGAAAAATATCCAGACCTATACTGTGATTTAAATTATATAAAATGAATAACAACGATATATTGTTTTTATTAAGTTTTTATAACTTATATAAATAAAACCCCTGACTATCCACAAACAAGTATACAAATTTTTTGCTGAGTATGATTTGGAAATCCATAAGTAAATTATGAATAAAACAACTTGTTTTCAAGAAGTTCAATTCCATTGTATATTGCATTCTTTTGTCCTAACCTATACATGTGTTTGTGTCTACTTGGTTCAATAAATGAGTTATTGAGTTAAATGTACGTTTTTGTCACAGAGGTGAACAGCTGGTTGTTGGTATCCTGGATATATTTGGTTTTGAGAACTTTGCTCACAATTCCTTTGAACAACTCTGCATCAACATAGCCAATGAGCAGATCCAATACTACTTCAATCAGCACATCTTCACTTGGGAGCAACAGGTAGGTTCAATCAGTTTATCATTACTCAAAGGAATTTTAACTCAGCATTTTACCTATTTTGTGTAGTGGAGAACAATCAGTATTTACTTTTAAAAGACCCTCCTTAAAACGATATAGGATATTCACAGAGTAAAGACTAGGGAGGATTTTACAAATAAATGTCTGTGTTTGTCCTGTGCCTGATCCACTTTAGTGTCAAAATTTCAGCCTGGTAGGTTCATTATGTTGCATTAACAGTTAGATACACAGACATAAAACATATCTTCTTCATAAATTCAATAAAATAATTGTTTGAATGAGTACTGCTGCTATCCTGAATTTTCTTTTTTATTTAGTTTATAATTGATATCACATGTACCTTAGAAGTATGCTGATGTCAAATATTCTTTGATCTATGTCCATGCATACGCCCACAGAACAGGGACATTTAGGAAGATATGATATAAACTGAATAATGTTTTTAATGATGTTAATTCTACGATAAGATTCATGCTCTTTTGTTATCCAACAGGAGTACATGGCGGAAGGTATTCCTGTAGACTTAGTGGAGTTTACAGACAATCGTCCAGTCCTGGACATGTTGTTGTCTCGACCACTCGGATTGTTGGCTTTGTTGGATGAAGAAAGCAGATTCCCTCGGTCCAACGATCGATCTCTTATTGGTTAGTTGGTATTTTGTACACAGTTTAGGAGTGTGTTGAATTACTAAACATAAAAAAATTGCTGTGTTTAAATAGAGTTTTCCAATTTGTAAATCTATAAGTAAATCAATCTTTGGTCAGATTACACTTGAAGTTTGTTTTTATTTATATCTTCATTACACTTATTCCTTATTTTGTCATACAAGTTAGACCTCTTATAGTACCAAGTACAGCTGAGGTATTTTTAACATTAGGTACATGGAACCCTTTAGAAAGGAATTATGACCTTAAAGGGCAATTTATGACATAATGGATAGTTTTGCGCAAGGTTTTTCGTCATGACGAACATTTTAAGTACTGTATATGGTTTATGGCGGTGTGACTTGTAGTTTTCTCAAAAGTTCATGGTTACTTTTGGATTTATATGGATACACAAAAAAAAAATGTTCTCTATTCACACTAATTTGTAAAGGTTGAACTTTTACTAAACGATTTTCCTTTCCAGAAAAGTTCCATGCGAATATCAAAAGTAAACTGTACATTCGGCCGAAATCGAACGCATTGTGTTTTGCCATCCAACACTTTGCCGGCCGGGTGGTCTACCAAGCCGAGGGATTCCTGGACAAGAACCGCCACTTCCTGGCTCCAGAGGTCATACAACTGCTGAGGACTTCCGTAGTGGACACTGTTAGATACTTGTTCCAGTGTCCGATCACCAAAACTGGCAACTTGTTCTCGGCCAGTCCTGCCCCCACACCTTTGGGAACTAGGGTGAGTGTCAGATTGTAATTCAACTTTACTGTTTAAGATACCGGTAGTTCTTTTCTTTTTCTTTAGGTCTAAATTATAGGTACAGTTTAATCAAATGAACCATAATAATGAAAAATGAGGATTGAAACGAAAATGTTCCCAAAAAATATCCAACGGTAAAAGGCTTGAAAAATGGCAAGACTTTACATAGAAGAAGCTATGACTAAACCTGTGATTAGTCACTGTCCAACTTGCAGGAGATCAGTTATTTAGTCCGAAGTTTGTAATCAAATCAAATCAAATCAAATCAATTTATTGTTGTAGACATTTCACAATGTTTTAACAATCGTCATAAAATACATAATGCTGTTATTAATACAGCAAATGAATACTTAAATGTAATCAATCAATATAGGCTAATAAGTTCTAGTATTAAAAAAATATATAAATACAGGCACAATTAAATAGAAATATTCTGACATGTAAAAAAATCCTCCACTGTATATGGGCATTTTTGTATTAAATATGTTTTCAATTTTGATTTGAAAGTGTTCAAGGACAACTCCCGAGACTCCACTGATAAATTATTAAACAATTTAGCTGCCATGTATTGAATGTTTGTTTGACTCTTTGAGTATTTACAAAACACTGTTTGCAAGTTGTTTTTAAATCTGGTTTCATAATTATGTCTATTTGAATTTTCTGAGAACCTATCTAAATGATTTTTTACATACAACAGAACTTGAAGAATATATATTGTAGGCAAAGTTAAAATTTTGAAATGTTTAAATATAGGTTTACAGTGAGTTCTAGAGCGTACACCACTTACAAGCCTTATCGCTCTTTTTTGCAATTTAAATAACATTTTGGTATATGATTGGAAACCCCACACCAAATATTCCGTAACTCAATAAACTATGTATCCGTGCATAATACACTGTTATCAAAACATCTTGTGTTACACAACCTAACAGCGTAGAGTGTCCGTGCGGGGAGACGTTCTGCTGCAGATGCGGCCGGGAAGTACTGGACTGTCAGCTGACCTGTCAAGCTGCTCGGAAAAAGACTACCTATCTAGCCGCATGCTTGGCTAGGAGAAAACTGCTACGACTTTACTCTACACTTAAATTCATCCGATGTGTATCTTTGTTTTGAAATATTAATTATATGATATGATATGATATATCAACTTCAGGTCTTGTAATTCGAAATACATAATATCTAATACTGTGCTTTTAAGACTAACAACCAATCTAAGCATTAGACTAGTGCTCAAAGTAGTTCTAATACCATCAAATACAGCATAATAAAACGAATTAGTGTAATAAATGTTTTTAGTAAGATTCTAAATTTTATAGTCGTTTAATGTTGAAACGTTCCTTTTTAGTTTGTCATGACCACAGCTGTTTCATGCTTCAAATGGAGCACATCATCAGGTCAGAAGAATGTCAAGTAGTCTTCATTGAATATTCCTCGTACTGGAGTTTGTCAAAAGTTTAATAATAAATAGGTGACAAAACACATAACGCGGAAACACGAAAATACGGCGCCAGTTGAGCATGAGTTGCGACTTTCATGTGACCCCCTACCCCTACTCCCGTCTTATCCTTACCTTGTTCCATTGTTGTCTGTTTATTGAGTATTGAATAGCAGTGTTGTTGATGATGTTGGATTCGAATGATAATTTTTCGTTTAATATATTCTGTGGTTGTTCTTTGACGCCTTGTAGGTTTCAAACTCCTCAACTGTATCCATGTATCGTCCTTTATTGCAGAGTTGTACTATCTCTAAATTATTGTCAATATCTGTGTACTTATGGTTGGAAGAAATTAGGTGGTTTGCGTACGCTGATTTGGAATTTTTCTTCAGTATATGTTCTTTGAACCTGATAGAAAAAGCTTTCCACCATTTAGTTGCGATAAAACACTTTTATTGACTGGGCCAAACCAGCTGGACTTTGTCAGTCATAAAGCTGAGATCATCTAATTCCGTTTTACACTCACTTTGCTTTGATATTTAGTTTAAATTACATTCAAATTATGTCGCTGTTTTGGTAGTGATTTAGTGACTTAGACATGTTAATTTTACTACAGGAGTCCAATCGCTGTGCCAGTGTGATGGCCTTACAGTCCCAATCCAGAGCTCAACAGACAGCTGCTACTTATTTCCGCTACTCCCTGATGGAACTGCTGCAGAAGATGGTTGCTGGTGTGCCACAGTTTGTGCGATGTATCAAACCCAACGACTCCAAGTCCCCTCGAATGTTTGATCCTACAAAGGTATGAATCTACATCATTCTGAGAGCAATTAGGAAACTTTATATTAGTAACTTGTTAAAAGTTACCTACTGTTCAAATAAGGTTAAGTCGTAATTTTTCTTTATATTTTGTTTTCATTAAGACATAACAGTTTACAATGATTATAAGTGGCTTAGTTTTTCCTCAAAAGCTTTGCATCTTCATCACAAATATTAAGTCTGTTTTGCTGTATGCAAGTTAGACATGGAAAGTTACAAGTTTAATTACGTCCTAGCTACAAGCGTTCATCAATAGGCGTCTTCGCCGTATCATGAACATTCATTGGCCTGAGATCATCGCAAACGAAGATTTATAAAGAGAAACAGGTCAAATTCAGGTTAAAATTTGAGAGAGGAAGTGGAGGTGGCTGGGACATACTCCGAGGAAGCCAAACAGAACCATTGAGAAAGATGCCGTAGATTGGAACCCGCAAGGTGTCAGAAGAAGAGGTCGACCCTAAGAAACCTGGATGAGGACCGTTATTAAAGAAGCGAAAGAGGTTAACAAGACTTGGGGAGAAGTGAAGGCACTTGCTGGAGACAGGGACAGATGGAAAGCTCTTCTGGAAGCCCTATGCTCTCATAGGAGATAAAAGGAAATAAGTCAAGTAGTTTTTTCTTGATAGCATGCAAGTCCTGAAACTTAAGCGCATCTATTTACTTTGTCAATGAAATGTCCAATTTCCCATTAATTTTTCAGGTTGTTCGACAGCTGAGGTATACTGGCGTTCTTGAAACAATTAGGATTCGGCAACATGGTTTTTCACATAGAATACCGTTTGCAGAGTTTCTCAAAAGGTAAAGCTTCCCTATTGTAGTTATGCCAAAAATTGGGTTCAGAAACAATCTGAAAATATGACATTGCTAGTTCAGTCAAAACAGTACTTATTCGTTTTGACAGTACTTATTCAGTCAAAATGTACTGAATATAATATAAAGGCACTCACTGATCATTATACAGTAAGTACAACAATCCTTTGTACTTTGGACTAAGAGGTAATTAGTTTAATTTCACATTTCTGTATCCAAATAGCTATTGCAGCCATTTAACTTAGAGGGGAGAGCTGGTAGAGGATGACTGACTGTGAAACCAATAAAGCAATGTCATTCTGGTATGGCTACTTAAAATTTATTAGTTCAGTTAATCCTTGCATTGTAACTTACTGGCTAACCCTTTGGTTTGCTTGATATATTCCACGCACAGGCTTTTGAAGCCCATGTGGATTGTGGACCGGCGAATACAAGGGTAAAAGAAACCAACAACCTCTTAAAGAAAATAATTGTATACATTTTCTGTAGTGCAAGTACTTCAACAAATTTATCAAGTCTGTTGATTTCAAATGATTTAACTCGACAGTTATCATTGCTGTTTGTGTCACACAGGTATTGCTTCTTGGCATTCGGGTTTGATGAAAGAGTGTTGGCTACACGTGACAACTGCCGTCTGATGCTGGTCAGACTGAAGATGGACGGTTGGGCCCTTGGAAAAACCAAAGTGTTCCTTAAGTACTACCACATAGAGTATCTTTCAAAACTGTATGAAGATCAGGTGAGGATGGACACTATGATTTAATCTCAAAATCGGTACAAAAACCTGACCAAACCTACTACAAGAATTTAAATTCTGTTTCTGCTTCAACGTCTATGGAATATTGAAACAAGTTTTATTTTTCAATATTGTTAAATTAATTAATTAATTAATTTAGGTGTAGCATATTGTTGCCAAATATTTGTTTTACTTTGCAGACCTCACTTTGTAACATTAGAAATTAAAGATACTTATCTCACTAAATATTAAAATTATTTGCTGGGTGGTTTAAGAAAATACAAGATATTTAAAAAATGGTCTTAAGGCTACTGGTAGGTTTTTTTTAGAAAATGATTTTTTTTACCTCAACTTCCTGTCACATAGACATAGCAAACAAAGTCACATAATCAGTAACAAGCAAAAGAGGTGAATGCAGTGATGAGTCAGTCATATCATCTATAATATTAAAACGAAACAGGGTTTTTTTATTTCACGATTCTGAATGAACCACTTGACCGATTTTGATGATTTTTGTGTTGAAAGAAAGATAATTTTGAAAACTAGGGAATGTCGAAGCCATAATTTTAGTTTAGGGTCCCAGTTATTTAGAAATTAAGTTTTAATTTTTGAAAAGTCTAGCAGCCGACGCTAAGATTCTAAACTAGCTTTTGGCATAAAATAATTTGCTTAACATAACAGCTGTAAACATTCAGCTTTTGTGTCACAAATTCAGCATTTGGATAAAAATGTAAAGACATACTTAGGGTTGACTTATTTATACTATGTGTAATGCTTATCATTGATACGTTCAATTCTTCTGTAAGAGGATGACAGATTAATTAAATATACATAGTAAAATACTAGGATGTTCAAAGTATATTTAAAAGCAATCTTTGTAATATTCGATTTGTTTTAGAGCAATATAATTTGTTTTAACTAACAGCTGGTTAAATATCAACTATGGAATTATGAGGTTATTTTATTTACTCTTATTTTGTCATTGATTATAGTAAATAAGTAAGATTAGTAGAGATAATTAGACCACAGTTTTAACAAAAATTAATTAAACCACAGTACAAATCGAGGCTCTGTACACGAGTCTTAATAAAAAAGGATAAATGAAAATTATTTTACTGCTACACTTTTCAAGCACTTTTGCTACGCTTTTTGTTTACAATTAAGGTTTGTCTGGTTTAACTTTGTTTGGATTAGGCGCGGAAATATTGATGTCATAAAAAGAAGATCAAGAATAATCAGTAATCACGATTTTAAATTACCACCACAACCTCAGCCGGGTTTTATACAAAGATAAACAGATGGATGACATAGATGAACACAACGTCAACATTGACCTAGGATACTGCAATTAGACAAACCATCCTTTTATGAAATCGTGTTCAGTTGTGGTTACGTTTGGGGGTGCCTATATCAGCGCCCCCAAACGTGAAAATATCACTTTTATTTCAACGATGAATATATTGTAGATTAAATTAACTAATATGGGAAATTACGATGTACATTTATTCAATGAGTGTGGGTAATTATCAAGGATAGAACTGATAACGGTATGGATAATAATCATTGACAATTTCGTCATTAGCTTTACTAGCGTGTTTACTTTTTATATTCCTGCTACATGTGACCAGTTCTTTTTACAATTGATGTTATTTGAACCAAACAGCTGTTTCAAAACAAACTGTTATTGTTTTTACTTTTCTTTGTTTACGCTTATTTATTTAGTAATTAATGCAGTGATAGGTGTGACGATTAGTTTTGATGTTAGGACACCAAAGTTAAATTATGTGTACTGTGAATTTTATTGGATATTATCGTTTTATTTTAGGTAGTTTCTATTCAGACCTACTGGAAATTGTGTATAGTAGTTGTATTGTGGTGATAATAATTATGGAAGAGGCAGGTATGCTATGGAAGGTGGTATCGTTGACTAGGTCTATACACTTCTCATTTGACTATTACTCTCTCTACTGTAGGCTACTTATAATCAGTGTGCGTCTGTGCGAAACGGCTGCAAATCTCACTTCAACAGTTTTAACATCGAAAAATTGCAGAATTGCTGTTTTATTGTGAATTTATCGGATTTAAAATGCATATCGTATAGGCCTATGATGGAATAAAAACATATTTGGTCACACAACATTTGTTTACAAGATGATTTTTCTCATTAAAACTGCAAGAAACTTTGTCTTTGAGTAAACTAGCTGATCTGAATTGTACACGGTTTTAACTGACTTCTGAATTCCCGTACGTAGGACGGGCTAACACCTCGTTTATATAAAAAATAAATGTCTGGCATTGCTTGACATAGGTAGTACTTTTCCTCTGGCCCACTTTGTTTCGTTTAAATGGCTTCTAAATATAGTCAATCTTAGCAGTGAGCTTTGCCAATAGCCCATTTCTGGCAAATTGTCAAGCCTATTCACACCAAAAACGTACATTTCTGTCTGTCTTTCCGCTTCATTACAACTTGAATACTAACATTATTTCTTGATTCTAGGTCCGTAAAATTATTCTAGTCCAAAGCTGTATCCGGAGGTGGCTGGCGCGCAGCAAGTACCACAAGGTGAGATGGGAGATGGCCACAAGTGTTCTAACCCTGCAACGCTACGTGCGCGGTTGGATTGCGCGGAACCGACTGCAAACTCTCAAAAACAAGGAGGAAAACCGGAAAAACATCGCTAAAAACAAAGCCGGGAGGAAACAGAAGGTTGAGAAGGAGAAGTACATTTCTGAAAAGGATAGAGATATGTCGAGTAAACAGGTGCAGGAGTCACAAACCCCAGTGTCAGAACTGGGAACTCCCTGGGGCAACGTGAAGATGAGGAGGAAATTCTTCTCGGAACTCGAGGATAAAGATGAAGCGGCTACTATAATACAGAGTCGTAAGTTGAAATGTCATTGATGTGTTTAAGTCCACATATGCTGATTTTAAAAAATGTTGGCTATTAAAAAAAAAAATTGAAAATTGGTTGTTTACTACACAGACCGTGACATTGATAGGTTGAAAGCCCACTGGGATTTCTTTAGGAAATATGCACTCTTCAGCCTTTATGTCGAATCTTATTCAAAAAATAAATGTTACCATTGTAAAAAATTTACAATAACTAACTTATATTTTAATTTTGTGTCATCTTTTATATCACAAAAAATACTAATACCATTTGTAAAATAAATATCTACCATTTTATATGAGTTTTTATTCGTTTAATTTTTTATTTCATTTCATTCTTGCCAGTGATAGCTCTTGTAATTTACAGATTTCAGAGGTTATACTGTTAGGAGACATTGGGCACCAGAGGTGGCTAAAAGAATACACAGTGATGAGAATGGAAAGAAGAAACCTGAAGTAAGTAATTAAGTATTTGTAGTTTATTAATAAACGTACTTGTCAAGCATTTTTTTAAAGAAATCATATTTACCTAAAATAGGCGTGAAAGTTTGTTTGCAATAACGTTCTGAAATATATGCAAATTTTCCTCTACTGTGTATTTCTTATGAGATAGTGGTCTTAATTGTAATTCAGTTCTACCTAGACACACATATAAAGGGGCATGGTTGGTCAAGTGAACGCAGAACCTATCTGCTCAAGATATGAATCTGAACCCTGCCAAGGGCCAACGGCTTTCAGCTATGGTAGGCCTAATTCTTTGACTCAGATTTCTAATTCCATACTAAGCTTTTTGTTCATCTACTTATCAAATAAAAATTGATTCAGCTCTCAAATTAGGAAAACCTTATCTGTATGTAAAAAAAACTTCCTTCAAAACCATATCATAACCTAAAAATAATTATGATGCAAAAACTTTTTCAATGCTTTTGATGCCAAAGCAACTTTAAACATGTTGTTCTCAGAAGGCAGTTTCACAAGTGCAAGGAGCCATGCCTGTATCTCCTGTCAGACAAAAGCCTACAGATAGACAACATCAGCTGATAATTCTGTCTCAAGATGTAAGTTTTCTATCTAACAAAAAACCCCTAAGTGGTAACACTTTCCCCGCCAAGTCTTCAATCCAAAAAAGATAATAAATCATTACTTTTTCCCCCAAGAAAAACAATGTAATGTATGTAAGTTTGGCAACTTGGCGGCAGACTTTTGCTTGGTTTTTTTCATTGAAGTTACGTTCGTGGATAATTTCACAAATCAACTTCTCTAATTAATTAGTCCAACTAAGTATAATAATTTCGAGGTAATCAGTAAATATAAAACCATCACTATTACGAGTTTATGAAATGTGGCACAAATAAGGTCAAATTTTGTAAAATAAGCTCTCACCTAGCAATGTACTAATGGGAGAGATACTTGCTCAATGAAACTAGTTTTATGGTATTTTTTAAAGTGATCGATCAAAAGTCTGCCGCCAAGTTGCCAAACTTACATACATTACATTGTTTTTCTTCGGCGGAAAAAGTAATGATTTATTATCTTTTTTGGATTGAAGACTTGGCGGGGAAAGTGTTACCACTTAGTGGTTTTTTGTTAGATTTTATTTATTTTTGTAGAAAATTAACAGTTAAAATAAAAATCCTCCTTTCTATTTTAGACCACCTTATGATATATAGACCACGGCACAACTACATCTCATTTAATTTCAATAATATTGTTTGTGTAGAACTAAATTCTACATTTTTGGTCTTATCTGCTTTAAACCGATTAAAAACTTTTTGACACACGTACCAAAATTACTATTTAACAAACCCCCTGGGCTTAAACTCAGTTTCAAATTTCATCAATGGTCATCTTGAACAACATGAAATGCGTTGGTGTTACATATGTGTTCTGATAATTAAACCCGTACATCTAAAGACTAGTGTAAATTGAGCCCTTATTAGAGAAGTAAAAATGTAATCAAACAGATTAAGTTTGTTAGAAATAGCATAAACAAAACAAATATTGAAAAACTCATCTATCCTAAAATTACTTTTTAATTGCTTGTTTAACATTACGTACAGTGATTATCCCAATTGTTTTATTTGTTATAGTGTATCAAAACATAAAACAAATCTTAGTACTAGTACCATAGATAAATCGTCAATGTATATAACCTAACATGTTAGGTTATTATACATCGATGGCTAGTACTAAGTTTAAAGTTCCTAGGTTTCATATGTTTTAATAAGTAGTATGAAACTGCTAAAATGACGAGCTGCTGTACACTGCATTTTTCAATGGAAAGTATCGGGGAATATCACTGCTCTAAGTAATTTTATATAGTAAGTAGTTCAAATCATTCGGTATACCTGAAAAAAAAACTTTATAAAAGTTTTAAAATAATTTTCAGCTGTTCCTATGAATTTCTCTAACATTTAAATTAAATGAGATTTAATCGCAGCTGGTCCTTCTTCTGTTTTTATTTTAATCCCATGTTATTTAAATGGGCCAAAATCGTACTTTGAGGGCTTGCCAAGGGTTTATGGGTCAACGCACCGACTTGAGACCCTCAAAAGGCACATCTACACGTTAAGGGCTTTCAAACAACATAAAAAACATTAAAATTGAGCCAGTGGTTTGGGCTGTAGGTCCGTCAACATTCAAGGAGAAGAAGGAGAACACGGAAAATTTTTGAATTTTCAAACTAGTTGTTCTGGCTCAAACACTACCGTTTTTTAAATTATTTTTTTTTATTTTGTTGAGAATGAGTGCCCCTATCCAGTAGATGAATAATTATTTTAATAGCTTTTGTTTCTTCAGAGCTATAGACGAGTAAAAAAGCCACTTTGTCACGTCATGTATATATACACTGCAGCAGCTGTGTACCGCTGGGGGACTTGGCGGGGCGGAACGCTGCCGCGTTCCTTAATTTTTCAGCAATATCAAAGTAGTGAAAACATGTGCATGTACTAGATGTTTTGATTTTGGTTCTTGAGGTTATTTTCTTTTTCATTGTTAGGCATATTGTTTGGGTATGAACAATGAATACAAACCCTTTAAGAAGCATAGTGCCTTTGTTAAACATTCACTCTGAGAATATTTTAATTTCTGATAGTTCCTGCGGCGGCTGCTAGGTTGCGAAGGCGCTACTATTGTGTGTGGCGGGGCCAAGTCAGCTGACTTAGTGAGAGAGAGTGAGATAGAAAACTTAGCTTTAGAGAGGCATAGAGAGATAGAGAAGCACGGTCATTTTGTAGCTTATTTTGACGGCAAACTTTCAGTCTGACCATTCTCCATAAGCATTTCACTTTTTAAAGGGTTTGTATTTATTGGTATTACATAGCTAAAAAAATATGATTAAATAAGTGCAACATTTGTTATGTATTTAGACAGTAAAGTTTGTTTAGCACTCTAATGAAATGAAAATGAAAAACAATCAAGATGGCTTGGTTGTTCAATAAAATTAAAACTAAAACTTTAAATAAAAATATTTGTTTTTGTACAAACAGGCCTAGGTTAGACTGTGGTTTTCAAGACATGTTTAAATTTAACAACAGACAGGCAAGAAATTATACATTTTTACCCCTTGGTATTCAAACTGTGTTGAGTGGCTGTATACAGGGTGAGGCAGTGAAACGGCATGATTTTGAAAAATTACAAATGATTCATTTAGAAAAAAATTGTAGTTGTTTTAACAGAAATTCTAAGTACATGAGTGGAAATTAATGTTTCATCTTGAAATAATAATTTTTTTAATTCAGTGTCAGTAAAATGGTGTACTTGGTTTTGCACACATAGTAGAATTATGAATTTAAATCAGCCCATGACATGTTTATGCGTTTTCATAACGTCTGCGATCATTTTATAGCGCTTTGTCATGCTAGCAGTGGCTTCAAAGTTATTCGCCCAAAGGAGGTTAGCTTTCCTTGATGGCACAGGAGCCCGCGGCGATAGACTGAACTCACAACGGAAAGTGCGCTGAGTACAAACTATAATATCCACGTTTTTGTAATATGCCTTTACAGGAAACGCACGTTGTGCACTCGTCCAATGCTCCTTGGCTACGGAAATTTCCACTTGTCTAGACGCCTATGGTAATTTCCCCCGTACTCTAATAGCCCCCGATTCCTTGTCAGCTGGTATCACCCTGTTCATATCAATTATCAATTATATCAATTATTTAGGGGACACCACTATGTGCGTATTTTATCCCAAATATGAGTGAAGGATGAGTGGCGTGATCTTTTAGTCTTGTTAGTGACTAAGGCCGACATGTTCCTTAGATATAGCTGTTAATTAATAGCCTATACAGCCAATGGCAACTAAAGGGACCTACAGTTTATAGTGGAATCCTAAACCATATGCTTTAGATTGGTCAGATTATCTTTAGAATGTACAATAGACCTGAAGATCAGATATTATTTTGAAGAGTGACATATATTTTCTTTTACTTACTTGCCAAATGACAAGTGTAACTTCTATTGCATGAAATGATTGAAATGACATGATCTTGATCTTATAGATTCAAAATGCTTTTAATCAAGCACATTCCTTATTACTTAAGATAGTGTACTTGTCATGACAAAGGATGTATTGTCATCATAGCTAAAGACTTTGTGGATTTGTTTCAAATTTGCTTTAACTTCCGAAGGTACATATGAAAAACCAAGATGCCCACAAATACCTGCGGAACAATAAGCAAGGTATCAATCTGAACAAGATTGAAGAAGCAAAACGTATTTATGGTCAGGTGAGCAAAATATTTTGTTAACTTTATGGGACAATCCATATCAACTGTCGAGTAGCTGATTGATTTTAGTTTTAATTTTTTAAACTAGCTACGTCTAATTTTAAGTGTATTATGAAGAACAAGGGGAACTCTAAAATTTTGTGCCAGGCTGAGGATCCCATCTCAAACTATATCATGGTTATAATTCAGATGAAATTTCACAAAAAATATGTCTAATGTACACTTTGTTGGGTATGGTAAAGAAGTACAATAGGGATAGCGCTTTATGCAAAAGGTTGGTCAGTATTATTTTTTTTTTTTTAGTGTAATACACGTAAATTATAATTTTTAATTCTAACATAAATTTGTCAAAAAATTGTCTTAACTTTTACAAATTCTTTAATGAATTCATAGTTTTATTTTACACCAGGAAAGTAATTTGGTTTAATGCATCAGAAATGACAATAAAGGATTATTAATGTTCTGGGATTATATTTTAGTTGCAGTATTTATGATTAAGGCCAAATCATAACGTTACTATTTATTTATATTTTTCAGAAATCCGTTGTTCACGAAGTTGCCAAAAAACATGGTGCAAGTTCCTACTACCAACAAGTACAAGATGAAATGAATAGGTAAGATAGATATATACAAAATTTGTATGGGTTTTATTTTTAGTTTAAATGATTATTAGATTCTTGATTTGTAAACTGAAATATCATCAGCTTAGATTTACAACCATAAAGAGAACTTAAAATATAATACATACTATTAAATTGACTCAGTAAATTGGTTGAACCAACATGATATGCTTGATGATTCAAAATTATAAAAGTGTTTAATGGACAGTACAAGTAAAAAAGTCTTAAAGACACCACACCACTGCGGTAGTATGGTTATTCAATATATTTCATTTTAAAGTTTAGCCTCAGTAAATCACAAAATGTTCCTCCAAGGAATTAAATATTGTAATAAAGGGTAATCACTTTACCGGGGTTCTTATAACACATTCTAAATTGTGAGGGTTGTCCGTAAATTTAGATCTTCATCGAGTTTCTGAGTGAGCTAGTTCAACTCTGAGACCAACATTGCGTTCCTTACTCCATCCACTTAGTCTCTTTGTAGTATTTAAATTAGGACAAACAATCCAATCAATCATTATTCCTGCTGTTGAGTTGGTAAATAGTTTAAAGTAGAAACAAAATTTATAAATCTCACTTACACATTACTACCAGCACAAAAACAATATTAGTGTCTTTCAAGTAGGTAAAAGATTACAAACATACTTATTTCCTATCGTGTTGGTATAAGTCGTAAAAATTATTAGTTGCTATCGTGTTGGTACAACTGTGGGTTACAGTTCATCGCCAGACTCGTCAGATGAGATCTCAGCATGGGATTTGCCGATTATTAGGCTGGAAAACCAGCTTCGCCCCCTCAGGTACAAGTCGAGAAAGTTACCCACTCTATTCGTTCGCTTTGTTTGCTCCACTTGTTTATTTTCGTGTTACCATTTTGTGAGCTTGACCTTACTCATTCCCAACATATTGAATAGTAGGTTAATGTTGCATTGATCCCCAGTAGTTACAATATTCTTGTCATAGTAAAATGTAGAAATATGAGTAGAGATTCTTTCAATATTTAGGTAACAATCCCTCCAAAGTTATTTCTTCCATGAGACCATCCTATAAATGTGTATTTTTATAAAGTATACCTACTTTAGTTCAGGCATCAGTGTCATATTAGTGACGTCTTTGTTTGGTGGAAAGTCATGGATAATCAGTCATGAAGACGCTTCAGAAAAATATTTCCTTATTTATTACTACAATATTATCATACAACATGTTAAAGCTATTGAATCTTTTATCTATCCAAATTTAAACTTGATGATATTGGAATTATGCACTACAACTAAACTATATAGTCAAATTAGTGACAATCAAATTTGAGAAGTGGTGACCATAATGAGAGCTTAAGTATTGGTGGATGTAAAAGACATTCTTTCCTGGATTATCAATGACAGTTGAACAACACTACTTATTTTAAACAGTATTGTTGTTTCATTGAACAATTGTCTGGGTTATAGTGTTCCTAAAAAATATATTTAAAAATATATGTCACACCTATATAATAAATAAAGCTTAAAGGACTTTTGGAAAACTGACATTCTCCAAACTGTTAAAAAGATGTCAGATTTTTTTGTATTGTGGTAGATAGAATAGGTAACGAAAACAGTAAATATTCATATTTAACAGCAAAAGTATGTATATTTTAATTATGTCTAATCTTTATTTATGTAAATGTATTGCCCTGCTTTATTATAATTGAAGTATTATTATATTATAAGTGTGTACAGTATTAAATGAAATTAAATCTATTGTCGGGACCATGTAAGTTTGCAGTTGAGGGAGGAGCCTATTAACCATATGGTTTTGAATGAACCAATGAGAACCGTGTGGTATTGCCAAATCTAATAATACCAGCTGATTTGAAAATATTGCTTTGGTATATTTTAATTCGTGTTGTCAACGGGCGATCTGGCAACGTCGCGAAAGCCTTGTCTTGTGATTGGCTGCCGCCAACTGCAAACTTACGTGGTCCCGACTATAGTACTAGTGTTTTAAGTTTTGTTTTATGTTTTACTTTTATTTCAAAACTAATTATTTTGAAAGAGGTGCTTTCTTATCATAATTGGAATGAAAACATTAAATTGTATCTGGATAAGTCTCAATATCAACATTAAACTATCAAGGCAAACAGGACTAAGGAATTTTTGTTCCATATATTTTAAACTTACAAACAGAAATGTTACAAAAAGATACTAAAAATTGCAAAAACATGTATATGCAGCAATTAAGTAATTAATTCTTCAGCTTCTTAAACTCATTTTAATTGAATTGAAGCATAACTGTAATAAGAATGAATTCCTAACATACGAAAATCTCAGTCCTGACTATTGAAATACAGATACTGAATAAGCACCGAATAAGTTAAGATTATTTTACAGGAACCAATTGACGTTCGGCCAAAGTCTAAAGTCTAGTTTTTCACCATGATCCCCACTTTTTTTAATACAAATTTTATTTTGCTCAGATTTTTTAAGTGTTAAAAGGTTAGAGTCCACTTTGTCATAGAGTTAAATTATTACCCTTCTTTAGTCAGTTTTTTTTTTGTTTTCAGACCAAGAATGGTAACATTAAGTATAGAAGCAGAGAGGAAAGACCTCATGAACGTCGGACGCAACCATATGAACTGGCACAGCCCACCTGTTACACCAAAGTAAGTACTGCACTTTAATTAAATACTTCATAAAATTTTACTTGGCAATTTAGTCTTGTTAAAATATTACCCACTCCTTAACAGGTAAGAGTATTTTGGTTTTCATAGTTCATTTACATATTTTCTTGCTCAGTAAAAAAAATGTTTACAGTAAGTTCCCTGAAAACGACATGGTTAATTAATACTTAGTTTACTCAGCTTAGACTCTTATCTCGGATTCATCGTTGCTTCTTACATTTTCATTGTTCAAACTACTCAATATTCTTCTAGCTATGAAATACCCTCTATAATTTGCTTATATTTGAAGTAATAACTGGTTATATTAATAGTAGACTTGATTCCAGAGGTTATGTTTGAATGTTAGAGTTTTTACCCACTGTATTCAGTTTACATGTGGATAACGATGGATTAATTGATTGATGGATCACCTTATACCAAGAGTCAAATAGATTCACTTAATGTAAATTTGTGTTTTTTTTTTGGAGTTAAATTAATAATTTATGCCAAAAACCACAAACAAGCAAAAGTATCCAACCAAAATTAAAAGATTTTTGCCTCTCATTCAAATCTTTCACCTCAATAATAAGGGGTTTAAACTTAAAAATGTCCACAAATAAGTTATAATAATTATTCACACAAGAAAGATATATTAAATCATTCAATTTCAACAGCAATAATGTTCAAACTGTAATTTGTCTTTCTTGAAAGACTCTCCAAACAAAATTAACTTTCAAAATGACAAGCCCAAGAACTTTTAAAATGTTGAACCCGCAACGGAGGGAAAAATACAAATACGTTCAGTAAAAAATAAAAAGAATGCCTGAACCCAATTTAGGTGATGTGATTATTTTTGTTAGGTGGGGCAAACAACAACATCCCAAACAATAGAAACATTCAACCACTAAGAAGAATTATCTAATAGAATCTAAACTTGCAAGTGAGTAAACAGTAAGGTAAGGTGGGTTTTCTGAGGTGGAATTAAAGTAGGTGGGCAGTAATTTAAAACCGGTTTATTTTAATTCAATTGAAATTGGAAAGTAGAGATTCATTTCATAATACCTTTAATTGTCTAGAGATAGTTCTATCAAGGATGTGAATAAATGTTATCTTAAATATTTGTCTGTATTTGTGTTTCTATTTGGTGTGTTTGTATAGAAACATGCATTTGAACAAATCGTGTGCTGTTTAATCAATAAATAACCTGACTCCTCCAAAATAATAATTAATTGTTATGATATGTTTCTACCAATAATTTTTTCTTCACCACAAACAAACTGAAGCCTCATTTTAGAATATTGCTTCCCCACTATTACGAGGTTACGTCTCATTTCATAATCCTTTCTGAATATTCTATTTAGATATAAAAATCATAAGCCTGGTTATTTTTGACTTGATTAAATTCTTATCTTCTTGACTTCATTTAAGGAAGATAAATTCCATCTAACACATGTTTTACTTTTCTCCCGTTTGCAGCTTTTTAAAATTTTCAATTGTAAAAAATCTAATTTTCTCCAAACAAAATTTTAACTCTGGTGTAGTGACGAAAAAGTGTGAATTTTTGAAAATTCTATCGATAAATGGTGATGTTTTTTACTACTGAGTCAACACTGTTTCAGACCTAACCCAGTGTCAGAGGATGTTAACGGACCTTACGACTTCAGGCAACTGTTACGCCCCACGGAGCATCCTCCGACAGAATCTCTCCGTAAACGCTTCAGTGCCAGGTGTCAAAACCAATCCCCTAATGTCAAAGTCTCGTAAATACTACTGCAAACCCGCCTCGTCAAAGACTTACGAAACCAAAGATTTCTTACCCTAGTGTTACACAAAGTTTCCTATTTAGTTTTATGTTTTAGGTTACCTGGAATTTAGGATATATTATAGTTTTTAACTAAGTACTTTCATTAATAGTACAAAATATGTTTTATTTTTATTAAATATCTACAGACAGAGTATCTATCTGTTAAGGCTAATATGAAAATTAAAGTGTACAGTAAAATTGGGAAGCATGGGTGGGTATACGAGGGCACATTGCACCCTTAAAACTTTGTGATAATAATTTTTACCCAAACAAAAATAAAGGAAATTTACATTTTTATATAAAAATTTTGTAAATTTATAGGCTACTTAATATCAGGTCAGCTAATTTTTCACTTCATAATTTTTGCAAATCACTGCCTAAATCTATCCATGTATTTAAAAAATTGGGGAAAACCCATCGAAATCTGTAAGCTACCTATTGCAAATCGGCATTTTAAACTATGGCAGTTAGGGACAGAAGTTGATATAAATTCCCGATGTGAATAATTGTATTTTGTACCTTAATATGTAAGATACTGACTGCTGCTTAAGGGACCAATAGAGAACCGACTCAAGTCAAATCAAATACTTGCAGAGCTTTTATTATTTTAAATTAAAAAAACTCATCTTCTTTTAAATTTTAACTTTTCATGTGTGTATGTCTCAATTTGGATGTTAGTATATATTTATTTTCCCATAACAGAGTCTACAAGTTTTGTTCCGCAGTGTTAATAGTTTCCATTGCACGCTCAAATGGATTTAATTAAATACTTTGGATTTGCATTTCATCAGATTTTAACAAAATACGATACAAAAATCTTGTGTTTAAATTTCCAAAATGAACTAAAACTTAAAATTTATTTGAAAAAGGTTTTGTTATATATTTTTTTTCAATATGCTATTTGTGTATGTTTTATGATAGTTATAAACTTGTATTGTAATCAAAGCAAAAATGTTGTAACTTTGTATATATTCATTATATAAAATCCTGTTAGTTATTTACTGTACTTTAAAAAAAAATCAAAGGAAAGTGTGATCTTTACTCTCTCTAATAACAGTTATCTTTAAAATGTTCTAAAATATTAATCATTGTACAGTCACATGAAGAACCATAGTAAAATATCTCTGCTTAGTGCTTATGGATAAAGGACCAAATTAATAAAACTTGGCACCTAATAATATTGTACCAATTAATAAATGTAAAATCCCTGTGAAATTCCAGGTAGCCTTTATGAAGTATGTTGATAAAGTTGATTGTTATTATTTTTAGAGTTTATTAAATATGTGTTTTGAATCAGGTGTTTCTCTCACATAATTCCTTTACGGCAGTAAAGATAAAAAGAAACAACAAGAGGAGATTCAGAGATTGCAGCTTTTTATGCATTTAAATGGTTTCGCTCCAGACTTTCAATGTTTTAAAAATTAAATATCAGTAGAAGTAGTTTGTAACTAATTTTAAAATTTGAATTATTGTAAAATTTTAATAATGGCAAATTCTGCAAAATCGATGAAAAATAAATATACTGTATCTTTAAACGTGTTTTAAATTCAAAGCAAATCAAATTATGTATCTAAGAAAACAGTTAGAGTAAAATGACTAAAACGCATAATGCACAACTTACAGACAGTAAGGTACAATAAGGTAAGTACAAGCTACAGTATGAAGTAACTTTAACTTAACATCTCCTATGTTTGTTCACAAATAGCACAATGAATGGTTTTAGTTAGACAGCAGCAAACATAACTAAATTATACAACTAAAATTAAGCTTAGTTAAACAATGTTTCATGAGTTTTGTTAACAACATTAACTTAAGAGTCGGCAGGAGTCAATAATTTTGCATTATTGTTGACCGTCAGATGCCAGGCGAAACAGTGGTTGTCCGAGCGCCGATCAAAACATGCGATCAAGTTGAAGCATATTAATCATGCATCGTAAGCTTAAACCTAGCAGAAAATGTTATGTGATTCTTTAATTTTCCGTGTGATTTGCTTTTTGGATTTTTAAAACTTTTGTTTTAGAGGTTGAAAAAAATCACAGTTTAAGTCAATATCTATATATATAAAAGGCAAAGCCCTCACTGACTGACTGACTCACTCACTCACTCACTCATCACTAATTCTCCCACTTCCCATTTACCTAGGAGGCTGAAATTTGGTACACTGATTCTTTAGGCATTAAATAGGAAAACTAAGTTGTTTTTATTCTGATCGGACTCTCGGGCTCCGCCCCAGTGGCTCTGGAGTTTCCCATGTTAACCTTATGAGAAATGGAATTAATGAATCTTAACAGCTGTTTCAATTAAACAAGTTGGTTCTGTTCTATGATGTTCAATAGCATTAAAGTTACAAGGATTACCAACAGGGTGCAGCACTATTATTTGTTTTTAATTTATGACAACACCTAATTTGCAACCAAAAGGTGAGTGAGCGTAGCGAACGAACTTCAACCTGGAGGCGAGTTAGCGTAGCGAACGAGCTAACCTGAAGGCAAGTGAGCGCAGCGAACGAGCTCCAACCTGAAGGTGAGTGAGCATAGCGAACGAACTTCAACCAGGACGTGATTGAGCCATGCGAACAAGCTCACTTATGAAGTAAAACGGGGCAAAGCCCGCGGGTACAGCTAGTATTTATGTATTTTGGCAAAATAATAACAATTAAAATTAAATAGATAGCGAATCACATCCACAGTTTCAATAGCTTTTAAATGAGATATTTTTCAACTTTTATCTTGATAAACAATATTATGCTTCAACCATTAACATTGCCGTTATGGGCAGAAAATCCAAGATGGCCGGCGGTCCTGTTGACTCTTAATACTTCCTAACAAAGGTAAAATGAAGTTTTCATATTTGGCCCGAGTCGTAAAACGTGGGAAAAAAGTTATGAGTTTATTGTGGAACTATTGTGTCAGTGTGTTACTATGCTGAACTATGGTTACTAAAAACCCTTTAGGGATTCTAAAGTGGTGTATATCTTTGTTTAACCCTCCGAGTGTCATGCGTCGCTGCAGCGACGCGTAACGCACTTTGTATAGTGTCGTGCGTCGCTGCAGCGACTCGCGAACACTGTTTACGGCGAAGGCTCTATGACTAACTGAATCGGACTGTACTGGATTGAGTTAGGTATCGTTCTGTCCGTAATATTCTAAGCTTTCTGCAGAGGTCTGTCTCTAAGCACTATTCATTTTAGTTCCGAAAATATTGTAGCAGACAGCTGACTGAGCTGACGTGCGTGTATTTGTAAACAGCTAGGTTACCCTCGGACCGATGACTGATGTGTTTTATTACGTTTATCATTGTTTTAGTGTTAAAAATCAAAAGTAGTGATATACGTGGTGCATTATAAGAAGATTTAAGTGGTTTTGAAGTGCTGGTTGATGATCCTGAAGAAGTAGGTAGTGATATTGATGTAAATTATCAGCCAGATTCCTAGCTATGGTTGGGCTATGCATTCTTAGCTAAACGCTATGTACTGAAATCTGTTTTTTGCCCATAACTTTTTTATTTGCAAATCTACTTCCTTATATTATTATAGATTTGTAATCCTCATAAAATTTAGAACAAAGTGGCTATTTTCAAATATTTATAGGCCTATAATTTATACAATTTCATTGAGCGCAAACTTATTTTTTTTTGAAAATTTTCGAAATTATACATTTTTTTACCTAAAAAATTTTTTTTTTTAAATCTTCCTTATGTTTTATATATAATATTGAAGCCCAAGATTTTCCAAACAAAATGGTATATAGAACAGTATAATTAACATTGTTTTTAAGCTTCTCAGATCAGTTTTAATAAAACCTTGCAAATGAGCAAAAAATAGGCTGACATTAAGGCCAAAACACGTGACACTCGGAGGGTTAATTCCTTAATATTGATTCCCTATTTAACTATTGAATGTGGAGTAAAGGAGGGAATATTTAATATTATATATGTGCCAAGAAATGGGAATTCAAGATTTTGTAATCTTTGAATGTGTTAAAAAATACTACACCATTTTGTATACTGTATTTTTCAAAATCATCTCTCAAGACATAAAGTAACACAAAAACCAAAGACAATTTTAGAATTGTGTTTGTTTTACTAGAACTTCTTTAAAGAAGGAAATCTTTGAAATTGTTAACTAAACTAATTAATTCTTGGTTACCTGAAAACAAAACACGAAACTATTTCCACAAATACTTTTGAGTATCCTACTAATATTATAAATGAGAAAGTTTGGATGTATGGATGTATGGATGGATGTATGGAAGTATGGATGTATGTTTGTGACAAGTGAACGCAAAAAATACTGGATGGATTGGGCTGAAATTTGGCATGATGATAGCTCACATTCCCGATTAACATATAGGCATATTCTTATTTCAAAAATCCTTTCGGGCTCCGCCCCAGTGGCTCTGGAGTTTCCCATGTTAACCTTATGAGAAATGGAATTATTGAATCTTAACAGCTGTTTCAATTAAACAAGTTGGTTCTGTTCTATGATGTTCAATAGCATTAAAGTTACAAGGATTACCAACAGGGTGCAGCACTATTATTTCTTTTACATTTATGAAAACAGCTAATTTGCAACCAAAAGGTGAGTGAGCGTAGCGAACGAACTTCAACCTGGAGGGGAGTTAGCGTAGCGAACGAGCTAACCTGAAGGCAAGTGAGCGCAGCGAACGAGCTCCAACCCAAATGTGAGTGAGCGTAGCGAACGAGCTCCAACCTAAAGGTGAGTGAGCGTAGCGAACAAACTTCAACCAGGACGTGATTGAGCCATAAAACGAGATAATCTTGAAAATTAAGAAGTTAAACGGGGCAAAGCCCGCGGGTTACAGCTAGTTATCCATAAAAATCCCTTAAAAAACGTTTAAAATTGTGTACCCTATTAATAAATAATATTTTAGGACAGAGAGATTAACTTAACCCCTTGAGTGCCAACGTCCGGGGAACCGGACGTTTTTAAAACGAGCCAAAAGTGCCGACGTCCGGCCGACCGGACGTTTTTAGAACGAGCCAAAAGTGCCAACGTCCGGCTGACCGGACGTTTTGTAATGATCGAACAGTTGTCATAACAACCGAATGGATACTCGGATTCTTTTAACCCATATACAGGGTGGGGCAATGAAAGCACCCCAATTTATAAGCTGTACAAGCTCAATAATATTCACCCTATAGATGTAAATAGCACATCAAAACACAGCTTATCTTTTGCCATTTTAACTTAACAAAGTCATTTTTCCATTTCTTGAGAACAAAATCCTGCAAGTGACGTCCTTGACCTACTTGACATTCCTTTTAAGGCACTTGAAAACTCGATCAAATACTCCTCCAGCATTTCTTCAGGTTCACGGTTCACTTTAGTTTTTGGACGATTCTTAGCTTCAGTTCAAGCAAATCTGTGGGGTGACTTTGAAAAACCTCGAACTTCAAATAGCTTATTAGAACAACTCCCTCCCCCCTCCCAAAAAAAGGGGCCAGCGTAAAGTGTTCAACAACAAAAGCTTCCTGGCAAATCCCTTTGGACTTTTGAGTTACTGTGACTCGCACTCTTTCAACATTTGCTGGTGTACAAAGAGTTTTGCAGCACCCACCGATTATTTTTAAGATTTAAGCATTCATCCTAAACAGTTTTACCCAAATGACCATTGTTTTCCAATCTGGAACAACGCCATGTTGACCAAGGATGGAATGTGGTCCAAACAATCTCTGGGTTTTTGCACAAGAATCACTATTTTTTAAATAGGGTTCCACGTCAAAATCTCAGTGTTAATAGCCTCAGGCATAATATTTACTAAAATGGCATAGTTCAATTGATGTTATAAGCACAGCTGATCATTTGTTGTTGCAACAATTAACATGTGACAGCTAAAACAAATTGTGGCGTTCTCATTGCCTCACCCTGTATTAACATTGAGTCGAAAGTTACTAGATGCGATACATCGATTTTCGTTGGTCGAAATATCGAAAATTCGATTTTTACAAAATTTTAACCTAAAAATCGCCAGATCGCGCTCACCTTCGGGAAAAATCATCGGCATTTTTTGAGCGTTACTTTTATTTCTCGCCTGGCACTCTAAGGGTTAAACCATTTTTTTTTCAATAACAATAATTTACTTGGAGAGCAGAAGCACTGAAATAGTCTCAACTTTCAAACATTGCTGATAGACTATGATTATGTTCCATCTAAAAATCAGAAGAGGAATGGCAAAGCATTTTGTTGCTAGTTTCCAAATTTCAATATTTTAATTCTTACTTTATGTTGTGTTCTGGCGCAACATGTCCATATAGGCAATTGTGATAATTTA